CAGCCCCAGCCAGAGACTAAGTCCCAGAGAGCCGATTCAGGTCCCTGTTCGGGCGCCAATTGTTGCTGCCAGGAAAGGGAAAGTCAAAGTTCCGCGCAGGGAGGCAAGCGGCCGACTCAGTGTGAGAGATACAGCAAGCTCTAACTTTATTGTCCGACAGGCTCTTTTTTATACAATACCGGACAGGCATATAACTATCAATCATTTATAATTGGCTAAGCTCTAAAGATAGCATTCAGGTACTCTTCCTGCTTGCAGTTACAGCTGTGAGGATTATCTCTTACTTTCTCAGGCTTGGCTGCATTCCTAGCTGTTTGTCTCAAACTTGTCTCACCCTCAAGGACCACTTACCCCTGCCATCTGCCAAGCTGAATTACTCCCTATCTATATATAAGTTACTATCTCCAGAGCCTTGCTTGTACACAGCATTCCCAGGTGCGTTCCCAGGACTGTGTCCGTGCGTTCCCAGGGGACTGTGTCCTTGCTCTTTTTAGCCTTCCCCAGGTACGTTCCCAGGATTATGTCCCGCTCTCTTAGCCATTCTCCAACAGATTTTTCCTGGGAGCAAAATATGGCTCAGAACACAAAATGTCAAACTTTGTATTGTGTAAAATCTGTCACTAACAGCACAGAATAGCTATCAAATAATTAGTGGAAAGCTTGTAAGCACAGACATCTTTTATGAACACGTATCTCTTGAAGAGGTCTCTTCACTTTCAATGTTGGTGTGCAAGTGAAAAATTAATTCCAGAAGGTAAAATTAAAAAACACTGCAGTAGCATTTTAAGCACAAATCCATAATACATTTCACTGAGTTACACAGATTTCATCTGTTGATATTTTACTAGGAATTTTACAAAACCATTCTACTTGTCAATTTCCTTCAATGACAGAAACAAGCTTATGAAGTTCTTATCTGTTTGTATATTTGGGGTCTTATCAATAGGATCAACCACATCAAGGTTTAAGGACTTGTTTACCTTATGAGTAATTGACTGTTTTGTTTAGTGAATCTTAACTTCCCCTACTTTCCCTTGGGCTTCATGTGCTTGCTGAATGTTGCATCCTATCAGCTGGGGACAGCCAGTTGTGTCTGTTTTTAGCAGCGAGAAGTTAAGCAGTGTACACAAGGAAAGACACCACAGCTGTTGATCAAGGATATAATGTGAGTGAATAAACATCTCCCACTGACTTGTTGGCCTTGTTTGAAAAGTTACTTGTTATTTCCATTTTCTCAGTGTTTGCAGAAGAAAGGTACAGGTTTGCTAATTAAAGGCTTGCAAAGCTCAGGTTGGAGTTTTCAATCTGCAGCCCTAACAAAACTATTAATTTAACATGTTTCTCAGGAAGCCTCAGGTTCTTCCTATCGCACTTAAACATCTTAAACTACACCACACAATCTGTTCCTCATGTCTTGCATTGATATTTCTGTCAAGGTTATCATTATTACCTGCAAGGCTGAGCTCTAATTATTAAAATGTCCAATGCTGAACAGGTCTCGTAGCTAGTACATACACATTCCAACTTAACAACCTCATCACAGCACCCATTGTGTTAATTACTGCAAGGTCACAAACCCTTCTCTGGATCAAAAGTGAACAGACTATAGAATCCAACTTGACCGATCGAATTCCAAGTGGCAAAATTTCTCATTAACTGGACATTGTAAGGACCAAGTTTATTTCTGTTTCTATTTTTGTTTGTTATGATTTTAATATAGTTAAGTAGTAAAAATTTAGGCAATTGCCATCACAGTGATAATTTTCTTTCACAGGCAGATGGGTGGCACAAATGATAAGGACCATTGGAAAAGATGCAGCATCTTTAAAGGTACAACCAATATACAAACTATAATATACTGGTGCAATACTATGGAATGCCAAAAGCCATTTTTTGGCAACTCCAACAACAACAAAAGAAACAGTGTTTGAAGGGTGGGAGCAATACTTAAAAGAGCTCTACAGGATGGATGTGTCATGTGTGGTTCATGTTTTAGAGGTCTGTGTATTAAAATTGGTCTTGGGGGAAAAAAAGTGAAAAAAACCCAAACCCACAACTCCATGGTATGGAAATATATGAAAGTATATTGTGGGCCTTCTATTAAGTATGCTGTATGCACAGTCATATAATGGATCTTTTCCAAGATCACAAAGGCAGGAAACATAGAAAAAATAAATTTCCCCAAAAGCTTGCAGCTAATGAGTGTAATTTTAAAAACTTGTTCCTTTACATCTAAGTGTCATAGCACAAAACTATGTAAACCAAACTGAATTGTGTAACATTTTCAAACATTGATGCTAATTTCAAAGTAGTATTTATGATGCATTGTATCCAACACAGTAACTCACAAATTAATGCAGTTTCAGAAATGGGAAACTGTTCTTCCACCATGAAAAGCAAGTGGTTCCTGGAAGCCTTTTAGTCTCAAAGTTAGTATGAAGTTCATCTCTTCTGAGAAAGTCTAGCACTTTAAATGTTAAGTGAATTTGCAGGGTTTTTTTCTCTTTGGATAGCATTTTGAAGCTTATTAAACTGTAAATATTAACTGCAATTTATATACTGTTTACCTAGTTGCAAGTTCTGTCTTTTCATTTACATGAATGAAAAGTAACTGAAGAGATGGCTGGCTCTATTTTCCATTAACATATTAAGGAATATGGCAAAGGCAGTTATTCATAGGAAAGGAACACGTGGTACAGGGTTGGTTAGAAATTGTAACAAAAATGTATGGCAAGCCTTTATATACAATTTAAAATTTGAAAGTGAAGTGAAAGTTTACATTCAACATTATCCTGTTGATAAAAGCTGTAATCCTGCAACAGCAGGAAGCACTGAGTGGATAGCATCAACTAATCAAATCCATAGATCTATTTAATTTTCACTCCCTGCCTATTTATTCATATAACAGCAATTTTCACTTTTTCCAACTCTTCCATCAATTCCAAAACAATTTTTGTAATGACAGGCATTCCTCCCTCATTTCACATTTGTGATCAGAGCTAGGCATTGCTTACATTTAGTCTTAATGACAGATTTCTGGTGAGCATTACATCTCCTCATCTCAAGTCCCCAGTTACATAATATTCCTTCCACTTAGAGGCTCCTGCTGTTACATTGGGAGTCTCTGCCTTGGCTCAGTAACTGCTGCTTTCCAACACCATCAAAATAAAACAATTTGCTTTTTTTTTCAGTTCCTGTTTGAAATGTTATCAGCACACAGTTAAACAGTAGTGGTCTTACACTTCATGCATTGAACACTTGTCCTGGTATGTTGGTATAAGACATCTTGCTGCAACAGGAGCAAGGTATTTGATGCAAGGTGAGGGGGGATCAGCCCAGGAGACACTGCATTCTCACGGACCAGATTAGAGTTACCATCTACTGAGACTAGAAGAAAGCTTCTGTTAATTCAAGTTTGCTATTCATGGTCAAATTACAAAGCAAGCTACCTGAAATAGTCAGAGATTCAAGGAGAAAGAAAGCCTTAAATTTTTGCAGCCTACACCAGAACACCAGCCAGGCTCTGAGACTGCATATTAAACCTCAGCCTTTGAGGAGTTTTGTCATAACATCATTAGAAGAGCTTATCAGCAGATTCAAGAGATAGCTGCAGCCCAGCAAGCAGAGTGAACTGAGCCTGCCTGAAGTCAATTTTGCTTCTGCAGCAGGAACTGCAGGAGGAAGAGAGAGATGAATGCTTGTCACATCTATATCTCACATTATGCTTAACAAATACAATTCTCTGCATTGTTTTGGGCACTACTGTTTTCCAAAGCCTGAGAATAGCTCACAGCCTTCTCCAAAATGACATGTTCTTAACTACTGTTTTGCTAACAAAGCATATTTTTGGCCACAGCTCTTCCCAGGGCATACACAGTATAGAACACAGAATGAGCACAGCCTCTCAGGATTATGGGGCAACAACAGAACAGTTACATGGTAAGACAGGAAGATGAATTTGGAACAGGTTGCATTATGGAGTACTATGGATAAAAAGAGAATTTTAACAGTATATGGCTTTGAAGTAAATTATTTTGTATGTAAAATACACATTAAACAAATATACTGGCAAAGGTTTTGAGATTATTTTATTTTTTCAAAATTGTTTATACAGCACTGAATATTCTGGTTACTTTATGACCTAAAATAATCCCTATACACATATAGGTGTGGCATACTGTACTGTAAACTAGTACAGGTTGCCCCACATTATTTTCAAAAGAACTGTTACAGCTTTTCCCCAGGGATACTACAATCTTTACTTAAAGCAGCTCTTGGTTGATGTTTTATCATGCTGTCATTACCTTGTCTTCTATTAACCCACCACTATTAATTTCTTAATACTATGTTGACTTTAGATTGCAGGTTTTTATATCAGGAGACAATATAGCAGATTCAGTGGCTGCGAAGACCTGTGTATTTTGGGAATCTGTGAAGGGGCATTCAGATCACTAAGCACTAAAATACAAACCAGACAAAGAATTGTTATTTGGTCTGTTAATTTTTTTCAAACGTTGTAAATATAGAGCAGTGTAACAAACAGTTCCATTTAAGTGGTACATCCAACAGCAGCGGGTGACTAACAAGCTCCCAGAGAAGTTGCAGAGCTTGTCTATTCCAGATAGGGTTGTGATCAAATAACTGTGAACCTATTATTTCATCCTGTGTAGAAGGGATCTTGTTAAATTTCTTTTCCTGTTTGGACAGGAAAACATCTAGCTGACAGTATCTCCGATTTTATTTAAATCATTTCTTATCAAAGTAATCTTCCAGAAGCACAATTGATCTTCCAAAAGGCAGCAGCTTTATAAGTTTATTGTCCTTATACTATCCAAGACTTCATCATGGAACCAGGTTTCAGTAAACATACCAGAGTCTTGCAAAGCCTCAAAGAGACGCTTATAGTCTTCTGGATATAAGTCACGCATTGTAGCATTTTTTGGAATTTCTAGTGCTTTCAGTAATTTGCCAGTACTGTCCAAGCTCCATGAACTGAAACAAACAAACAAAATCATAATGGAGCATTTCTTTCTGTGAAAAATTAAAAAGCAAGAAACAGAATCTGAAGGCCTATTTCACTCTTTCATAGCTTCTAGAAGTAGTTAACCTCTTCCTAGAAGTTATTTTCAATCCACAATGCAAACATGAAGAAACTTCTGCTAGTAAGACATATAAATACCAAAAAAAAGTCCCTGACAGACACAAACAATACCAAACCACGTAAGCCTCCTCATTACAGGGTGGGTGCCTTCCCTCCCTCATCCATCCCAACTGCCTAAGTCAGTAACAGGCGTTACAGCATAAGAAGAGGTTATTCTTCAACACCTGGGAAATTAAAGCCAAGGTAGTCCTCAAGAAGATGACTCAGTATAGCATGAATTAGTGACTTACACCTCCAAGGTATTTTCTTCTATATATAGATGTATCCACTCTTCCCCCATCTACATCATTGCTATGAAAACTAGACCTTTATAAATGTGCACACACATTATCTATTTCCCGGACAGGAAAAGGGTGTATAAATACACACAAGATGCACATCAGAAGCCTGCAACTTCCCGGCCAAAGGATCCAGTGGAGATGAGGTGTAACACTGAGCTTCAAGAAGAAATCCATTAAGGCTCTTTGCACTTGTCTTTGCTAAGGGAGTTACTGGAATTTAGCATCTTTTCTTTTTTTCCCCTTTCTGGAAATTAACTTTCTGAAGCTACTATCAGCAAATGAGAAGTATATTCATTACTTTCATTAGTAAGCAGAAGTCAATGCTTTCCAGACTGCAAACACTTTCTGTTTCTCGGAAATGGAAATCTACTGATCATAAAGCAAAGTGAATAGCTCCAGTGTAACACCAGAAACAATACTTAGACTTGCATAATTGGTAAATAACTCTAAACCCTAACTTTTTAATTAGATAACAGCCAATAACCTTCAGCTCTTTTCATTACTGTGACTTTGATGTCTGCTGTTATGAACTGAAACTCTTTTTCAGCTTTTAATTTCTATACCTGCAAAACTCTTAGTGGCTTTATTATTATGCCTGTAAAGTAAGTGAATACTTCCTGCAGATACATTACCTCATCTCCATTGGAGGTACAGAGAACTACTGCATATATGCATTCCAACTACTTGTCAACCTTCCTGTCAAATCTCAAGTTTTTATTATCTGTGAATACAGGCTAGGAACAGCCCCCAAAATACTGCACTGTGGAACAGTATCGTGGGTTTCACAAATGAAATCTTCTATTCTACATGCCAGTGATTAATTTTTTTAAAAACCTGCATTTCATATGCAAATAAATATTGCTTTGAGAACATATTTTAATATTTTTCTATATTTCTATGAAGAAAAAGTATAAAAACTGTAATTCTTTCTTACTTACTTTAATCTATCACTAAGTCTAGACTTAGGTCTAGCAAGACACTGTTTTACCAGGAAAACAAAGGTAGATGCATTTGTTGGCTTCAAGACTCCTGTAAACAGATTTTGCTGTGGAGTCAGTTGTACCAAGCATAAATGGTCATTTGGCAGCCACTGCAAGAAAAACAAAACAAGTCACTGAAAAGTAATTTTTAAGACAGCATCTCTCTTTAGCTAAGAGTTTCATCTTCGCCACCAGTAACATTTCTTATTAGAAGTCTTAACAAGATGATTTCACTGGACGATGAGGCTTCAAAGTTTTGTTCTAAAAAGAAGATGCTTTACCTCCTCCACCCCCACAACAGGAAAGGAAATAGGAAAGAGACATACTACCACTTGGGGATTTTTTTTTTATTTTAAGACTGAACGTTCTTATTTTAAATAGACTTAATGTGAGTTTTCAAAATATTACATGGCCTATACTATGCAAGGTATCAAATCACTTCAAATACTTGCCTTTTGTATATAAAGGTGGAATTATTCCGGTGTAACACTAAGATAACATTGGAACTTTAGGATTTAATGAAACTGGGACGGAGCAGAGTCTTCACTGAAATAAATATACTTCTGTATTGGCAGCAAATATCATCCAAAAGATCTCACTGCTGTACTTCTCCTAAAGCTGTCACCAATACATCTTGCATAATCCACCTGACATGCCTCTCTATGTGGCTTTTCAGCAACACACTTAAGTTATTTACTTATAGTCACTGATATCGTACAGAAACATTACAAATGACACTCAGTATAGTACCATAGCAGTTTTCTGGGGAGGGTAAAACCAAATATTAAGTAAACATGCCTTTTTATTATCAGATTAATTAGGGATTTTCTTGTTATACAAAGGAACATCATTACTTCTCTAAAAGAGAAAATAAAACTTTACACAAGATATTTCTGCACTTCTCAAATTTAAGCTTTTCACAATTAAGTAGCACATGAATCTGTAATGGACATGCGAATAACTATTTTAATCAAAACCAGCAGCATACTGGTTGTGTTATTAACTGTGCTAACACTTGTTTTTTCAAGCAGGTAGGTGTGACCCCGTCAGTAACTTTTTTTGAAAAATACTTTACCTGTTCAGATTCCTTTATGCCGTTTATTCACCATAGTTTTTCTACCATAAAGATACTAGTTTATTTCAGTTTCTAAGCTAATAGCAATTCTGCACTCCACTTTTAATGAATCTACACACTGCCTGTAAATTTAAAAATGCATCTGTAAAAGCTCTTCTAAAGTTATTGTAACCTTTAATTAAAAGTGATTTAGCTGCATCCCCCAAAGAAGTGCACACAACAACCTTACCATGCTTTTTGGTACCGCTAGTGCTCCATTTTTCAAATTAGTTGCAAATGATGACCAAGGTTCCTATGAGAGGAAGCAAACATATTACAGAATTAAAGTGCACCGTTGGAATAGAATATACTATTGCAGTCAGAAAGGACCTATGACGATCGTCTACTGCAACTACCTGAGCAATTCAGTACTGACCAAATTAAAGCTTCTTATTAAGGGCATCAACCACCTCCCTAGGAAGCTTGTTCCAGTGTTTTACCACTCTCAGTAAAGAAATGGTTCCTAATGCCCAGTCTAAACCTCCCCTGGCACAGCTCTGAACCGTTCCCATGTGTCCTACTACTGGTTACCAGGGAGAAGAGAGCAGCATCAAGCTCTCCCCATCCTCTCCCCAGGAAGCTGTAGAGAGCAATGAGGTAACCCCTCAGCCTCCTTTGCTTCGAACTAGACAAGGCCAAGGTCCTCAGCTGCTCCTCATATGACATTTCTTCCAGCCCTTTCACCAGCTTTGTTGACCTCCTCTGGATGCATTCAGGGTCCTTCACAACTTTCTTAAGTTCTGGGGCCCAGAACTGCCCACAGCATGTAGACTATGCCTGATGCTTGCATAATTCTTCAAACGCCTGTAGCAGTACCCAGTAGAATCTTCTCCATAATTTTTCCAGGTATCAAGGTTAGATTAAGAGGTCTGTAGTTCCCTGGGTCTTCCCTCACAGCTTTCTTGTAGGTTGGAATAACACTGACCACCTCCCAGCCAGCTGGGACCTCCCCAGACTCTCAAGACCTTTGCTAGCTGACTGAGAGAGGTACATACATAACTTCCTCTAGCTCTTTCAGTACTCTGGGATGAATTCCATGAGGGCCCATGGACTTGTGAACGAACATTTAGCTGATACAGCCAGTCCCTTACAATTTCACTGACCACTGGCCTGTATCAAGAATAGTGTGGCCAGCAGGACTAGGGAAGTGATCATCCCCCTGTACTAGGCATTGGTGAGGCCACACCTCGAGTGCTATTGCTCAGTTTTGGGCCCCTCACTTTAAAAAGGACACTGAGGTGCTGGAGTGAGTCTAGCCAAGAGCAATGAAGCTCATAAAAGGTCTGGAAAACACGTCGTATGAGGAACATCTGAGGGAGTTGGATGCGTTTAGCCTTGAGAAGAGGTGGCTCAGGGGTGACCTCACTGCTCTCTACAACTACCCGAAAGGGGGTTGTAGAGAGGTGGGGGATGATCTCTTCTGCTATGTCTGCGGTGAGAAGGCTAGACAGAATGGTCATAAGATGAGATAGGGGAGGTGCAGATTAGATATTAGGAAAAAAGTTTTCACTATTTGGATAGTCAGGCACTGGAACAGGTTGTCCAGGGAGGTAGTGGAGTCACCATCCCTGAAGTGTTTAAGAGGCATCTGGATCTGGCACTGGAGGATATGGTTTAGGGGTTACAGCAGAGTGGCTTGATGATCTTAGAGGTCTCCTCCAACCTCAATGATTCTAAATGGAAAGTGACTGTTCCCACACTCATGGTCCTTTGGCTCAGGGGATCGGGCAGCCCACGGTCTATCAATATTATTAAAGACTGAGACAAAAACCACATTGAATGCCTCCACTTTGTCTTCATCCCTGTCAGATGACCATCTTCAACAAGTATCATTCTTCAACTCCCTAATATTTACCTTAATACACACCCTGTGGTGTAAGGTATTTGGAAGATAGTGAAAGTTAATTATAGATTATCAAAACATTTCAGCTATGAAGGTAGGTCCCTAGAAGAACAGAGCACAAAGATAAATCTGAAAAGCATAAAGTGAAAGTTGATGGCCACGTGCTCATGTGGAGGTGGGGGAAACAACATTTAAAAAAACCTTTTAAAACTAAATTGTCTAGCAGGAAAAGCAGGTCTGTTTGGAATACAAAGGCACCAAGACTCAAAAAAACCCCTTTCTACTGAACACGGCTGAAGAAGTCCAAAGCATATATGATGGCAAAATGCAGAGGACATAACAAAGAGCAGACTATGGCCACTTGGAAAAGCAGACTTCTAGTCTCACACAACCCTTAGCAAGACAGAAAAGACCTATCTGTTGTGTAAACATCTCTTTCTTATCTACCAGCTTCTGAGAATAAGTGTTTTTGAGTACAGTGGCTTGCAGTGAAAATACTGACATCATAGTTAATGACAATGCTGCTTAAATGGAAGAGTTTTACACAAAACATTACTGGCTTAGGCTCTTACATCCAAAAGTTGTCAACAGTTCTCCAGCTAATTTGAACACCAAATTGCCTTTCACTTCTAAACCACTATAAACCCTTCTCTAAAAAACGTGTCCATAGCATTAGGCTATGTCAGCTGCTGCAAAAAACTTACCTTGTGCAGTAGCTGAATTTCACATCCTATTTGCCAAAGTACAGAAAGTGCTTGATAAGCCTTCGTGTCCGCAGGCTTTGCTGTTAAAGCCTAATAAAATGGTAAAAAAAAGAGCAGTTTGGTTGCAAAAACTGTTTCTTTATCTAAGCAAAATCCTCACATATATATGTATGTTATATAAATATAACAAGCAGGAAAAAATTCAATTAAGTCTAAAACTCCACGGTAAAGTTAAATTAGGCCTCAAATCCATACTTTGTGCTATTTTAGTACATCTTGCCAGAACACATGACTAGAAGACATTATGTCAGTCTAAGTACTTCTTCACAGCAGTTATTTGGATAGCTGAACTGTGTATGAATCTCCAGCATATACTTTCTGGTCCCTTTTAAGGCAGAGAATTTTCACACAGAAGAGAAACAGGGATCATATTTTTTATAAAAACCATAACTTTGGCAGAGTTATCAGTTTGCACTGATGAGGTAATACTCCCAAGAAGACACACTAGCAGAGTAAGCCAAATATCAGGTGACCTCAAGGAACATTAAGCAACTTGCAGAGTCATCATCCTGATCAATATTACAGACCAAACAACTCTGAGGACAACGAAAAAAAAAAAAAACCAAACTTGTGATTATTCTCAAACAGGGCAAAGAAAGAAGTAAATTGTAGCAGGGAGAGTTAACTTCTCATAATTGATTTACACAAACTTGTCATAAGATCAACAGAAAAGAACAACCCAAAACAAGCAATAAAAAAGAACCAACGGTGCCCACTAAAAAAAAGGATCAAATAACTTTTACTTAGGTACATAACTCTCATTTAACAGGGTTCAAAATAAAACTTTAAAACTTAATAAAAAAACCCCGAACACATCACTGCCTTAAATGAATAGGCTGCCCTGTATACACTCAAAAATCCAACCATTACAAACATACCATTCAAGTGGCTATTTCAGCAGTGTCCTGCCTGTCATTTCACAGAGGAATATACTTAGGACTTGCAATTTTTTTCATTAAGGTGTTAGACACAACACAGGTTGTGTAAGCACATCTGGAAGTCTTTGTCTACTTCAAATAATTGAAGGTCTGTGGCTCTGTATGAACCTTCCTGTTTCATGAAAAAATAAAAACATATCCTTGAACTATAAGTACAGTTCTAGAGCTTTGGAACAGTGTAAATTAGGAATATGTAACTTAGAAAGCTGCTCTGCACCTTAGCACAGTACAGAACCTTAATAAAAAGGTGTGTAAATCATATTTTGCCTCAGTTCTTTTCAGTAGTGCCTACAAAAGCAGCTCAAGAAGACAACTGCATCTCAGTGAGAATGGTATTTAGTAACTCTGGTTCCTCTTCCCTTCTATTTTGAATTCAGTCTTCATTGACTATTACCTCCAACTACTAAACAATTTTGTGGCAAAAGCACGCTACAGGATTTAGGCACTTCACAATTTATAATGGAAAGCATTCTTCACTTTTGTAAGATTTGTGGTTACGTGGTAACAGAATGTTTCTGGACAGCGCTACTACTGCATAAAGGGAACAAGTAGGAAACAGACAAGACTTAAAACTTCTGGCAGAAAAAAAATCACTAGCAAAAACATTAACTATACAATAGAAATGGTTTTGTGTTCTGTGAACCACTACATATTCTTTAATACCTGTAAAATATCTTGCACATACCGTGTACTCTTTTTCACTCATGAAGAGGTTGAGTTCTATTCTTCCGTATCTGTATATGGAATTGCATTCATACAGGGCGAAAAGAAGCCTCCAAAGTCTGTTTCTTTCCCCTCTTTGTGGTAAGATTCCAAAAATTCTCAGAGGCACATCTATTTCAACAGTGTGTAAAAGTGTCTTTAAAATGCTGCAATGTGTACTAGACAAACTCATTAAGTCTAATGTCTAAACTACAAACAATTAAGAGAAGAAAGTCGGTCAGCTCATGTTGTTCAAGACTGAATACAATTCAAGCCTTAGCCAAAGCTAGGCCCAGTTTGCATTAGACTAAAGCTTTAATAGACAAGAAAACACTTGATATCTCATAATGCCACATGCATTGTTTTTTTAAGCTATCAGGAATCCATGTAGAGCTGAAATGTAGAAAATCGTATCCATTAATCCCGCGTGTATATTAAACAGAACATATACCTCAAGCAAATCCCAAAGATTTTCCCAAACTGCCTATGAACCCTTCAAATGTGTGTGTTCCGATGCATATACCTGCGCTCCAAGGAACTGCTGCTATACCCATGGTTTCAAAAAGTGTCTCAGAAGTCATAGCAGGTGGTTTCAGTACTCCAGTCACCAAAGGATCCAATCTGAAGAAGTCACCATAAATCACCTTTAACTGTCCATCCAGGCTGTTCTCTAGGGACTAAATAAAATTACTTTCAGTTGAAGAGATCTAGACACAGTAACTGGTCTTGCAAAACACCCAACCCAAACAAAAATGTTCAAGCACTACCTAAAATTGTTACCCAGTCAACAAGAGTCAAATCTCAGAGCTGATGAAAAGAATAGCTTCCTCCATTGTGCAGGGCATTTTGACAGATTTTGTGCTGTCCAACTGGAGCTTTACAACACATTGTTAAATTAGTAAGATGTTCTGCGATGTCCTTTTTTTTAAAAAAAAAAACAACACTAATCTATACTCGACTAATCAAACCACTTCATTTAATGATTTACAACCAGAATTCTTCACACATGCAGAGATAATGTCTTTTCTATGCATTTTAAGTCAGGTGAGAGTTGGCGGTTCCAAACCAGCACTGTGACACAATCCTTCCAGTGCAACGTCTGCAGCTCTGTGTCTGACCCCCTTTGAATCCATGCAAAGCCCAGGTGAGCAGGAGGACAACAAGTGTCTTACTATGTAAGTTGTCAACTGCAGGACAATAGATTAAATCACACTGTAAGATAATCAGAATAACTAACACTTCTTAAAACTACACACAGACCTCTTTCTTGCTTAAATATACACAACTGCAATGACTCTATTAGTTTCAAATTTATGCAAGAAACTATTCATAAAAAGACTATGTATGAACTTGAATTCCTACATACACAAAATGTTGACTCAATCCGTTAAAAAATATTCTGAATGTGCAATGTACAATACCAAACAATACTTACTGTTATTAAGCATTATTTCAGATGTCACAAGTAACAATCCCTACCTAATCCCTTTTTGATACAACAGTTATTATAATATTGTAAGTTAATTTCTTATTTTCCCTTCAACTAAGGGAATTTTAAGTAACTTTTAATTAAGTTTTAGAAATGTGCAACCAAATCAAAAGTACCTGTAAGCCTGGAAGAAAAGTTGTGTTATTTTCCAGAGCTACCACTTTAAAACCTGCATTGAGCAGAGTTCGAGTCATGACTCCAGGACCTGAAGGGAGGAAATTAAATAATAACAGAATTAAATAATAACAGAACCAAAAGTGCATTTTTATTTCTAAGTGATTTCCTTTAGTGATTTTCTCAACGTAACACTTGGGACATACTGCCTCCAGAAGGAGATAGCTTGTGTTTGTTTAAACACACTTCAAAACTTGAGTCAGAGAAAGGATTTACAGAGAGCTTGCCTGAGACTGCTCACTGAATTACTCTGAGCACAGCGTTACAATTAGGAACATCAGAGGTAACGTTTCAGGTATTTCTGCCAACTGAAATATTCTTTGAGACCTTAGCCATATTATCTCTACAGATAAAACAGACTCTGAAGAAATGTAAAAAAGACCAAGGCTATTTAAGTAGCTGCAAAGGGCCAGCTGTAGCTCGTAGTCTTGAGCGTGCATTTATAGGCAGTGAGGTTAGCCTACAAAACCACAATATCATCTGATTAAAACCTTTACCTCTACTTACTTTATGGCAGAGTTTTAACGCCAGTGACTTAAGCCTCGTCACTAAGCACGGACTGAGCGCTCACTCGCTGCCCCCCAAGCTCTGTTTTTGAAGGGTCTCGACACCCAGTGGCTAACACCAGCCCCAGGAGCCCTCCAGCCCCGGCATGGATTCCTTCCCGTGCAGCGCCGGAACGCAACGAAACCACCACCCCCGCCCGAGCCCCGGGAGAGACACGGCCCGTCCCCTCCATCAGCACCACCACGGCCCCGGGAGCGCAGCGCCAGCGGCGCGGGCTCGCACTGACCCCGC